CCCGCCCCCCCTGCGGGCGCCATGGGCTGGGAGGAGAAGCAGGTCCGCGGGTACCCCGAGTTCGTGCAGACGGGGCGCAGCGCCCACGGCCGGCCCATCTTCGCGCTCTTCTGCGGCGACAAGGATGCCGAGGGCAGGAGCTGGTGCCCGGACTGCGTGACGGGGGAGGCCCGCGGGACGCCCCGCTCCCCGCCGGGGGGCCTCGGCGGGCGCAGAGGCAGAGGCGGCCGGCGGCGCCCCGGGGGAGCGCCCTTCTCCCTCGGCCCCCCGGCAGCGGGGACCGGGCCGCCTGCCCCCCGCTCGGCCCGGGGCCCTGCCCGCGGGTGCGCGCTGTCCTTCCCTTTAGCGAGGAAGCTTGCATGTCAGGAGGCAGAGTCACCTACCAGCGAGTCTCTGGCAGTAGAACATGAAGGCAGTTCCTCAGAAAACGCGCTGAACTTTCTAGATCATATATGCTAGAGTACGTATGGCCGCTGCTCACCACCGTTCTGATGGGCTTGCATACAGACAGGAGACAGGGATTATTTTTCGTACTTGTTAAAGCAGAAATTGGCCTTTACTCAAAGACCAGTCCCTGCAACGTTGAGCATGTAAATTCTGCAAAGCTTGTGGATAACCAGATGAAACAAAATACAGATCTTTACCTGCAGCAGACAAAACCTTAATTACCAGCCTTGCTGGTCAAAGTACATCTGTGTGATTCTGTAGCACAGTACAAGTATTAACTACTAACGGATTTTTAACATTACTCTCTAGCTGAACCAGTTGTGAGGAAGGAACTTCATAACATGCCTGATGAGTCTGTATTCATCTACTGCCTAGTAGGAGACAGAGCCTAGTAAGTAACTGCTTTAATGCCAACAACTGGCATAACTTCCCTGTTCCTGGGCTGGGGGTTAACTAACCTGTTGGAACAACTGACTGAACTGCCCTTTCCTGCAAGGAATGAAGCATCTGCTTAATTTGCTCAAGTTGTGCCAGGGGAGGTTTAGGTTGGGTATTAGGAAAAAAATTCCTCACCGAAAGGGTAGTCAGGCCCTGGGACAGGCTGCCCAGGGAAGTGGCTGGGATACCCTGGAGGTATTTAAAAGATAGGTAGCTGTGGTGCTTAGGGACATGGTTCAGGGATGGACTTGGCAGTGCTGGGTTAACAGTTGGAATTGATGACCTTAAAGGTCTTTTTCAACCTAAACCATTCTATGATTCTGTGATTTTTTTTGAGTTTTGAGGTCTACACCATCCCTAATGTGAGCTATCTGCATGCTTGTTCTGAGAAGTGGGCTGGGGAGGTGTGAGGCGAAGACCTTTGAATCACCCTTTTGAAGGAATTTTAACAGGCTAACTTCAAACTGCACCTCTACAAGCTGTGCTTAACCCCTTCTTCCTCAACAGCTGGAAAGATCCCAACAATGAATTCAGGAAGAATCTGAAACTAACAGGAGTGCCTACACTACTTAAATATGGAACAGTAAGTGATTTATTGTACGTTCTAGATCTACAGACATTCAAATGGGAAACTGGCGGGAGCTTATGGCTGTAAATGAATTAGTCATGCATGTTTTCTGATCCCCTCTCTTGTTTAAAAAGAGCAGACTATTAGGAACACCTCTTTTGCTCCCACCCATGCACTCTTCCTGGCTCAAACAGTTCCTCAAGAGAGAACCACTCTGCTTTCTGTATAATGTTGTCTATAATAAACATATCGTAAAGAATGTACACTTAGCATGTAGTGGTTGAGGGTAGAGAAAATTCTTAGCAACATGGCTAGCTTCCTGCCTTGCAGCACCTCAAATTTTAAAAAATCCAAATGCTGAATTACGGGAGTGACACAAGGTTATGTGCAGTATGCTCTTGATTCAAACAGACTACAGCTCAAGTTTTAACTTGTGCATATTATTTAAATTGGCAGTTACTTTCTTGAAATGCCTCTTCCAAGGCCAGAAAACCCACAGGCATTTTTAAATTATTCTTACCTTGCTTGTTCCACCCCACCCCCACTGGAAAAACAATGGCTAACGTTGGTATGCGCAAACGGCTCTGGTCTACAACAGGATTTTGAACTGCCCCTAAAACATCTTAACTTTTCTTTCAGCCTCAGAAGCTGGTTGAAGAAGAATGTTTTAAAGCAGAGCTTGTGCGTATGTTGTTTACTGAAGACTAAATCCTCCAGTAGTCAATCATTTACGAAGATGTTAATCTCGAGTTACTGGCAGTGTCCTTTCAAGGAATCCTTAACCTCACGGTTAATTACTTCAGACTAGTCAAGATAAATGTCATTCAATTCTAGGTCCAAACCCACCACTAAAATCCTGCAACAACAAACTGTATCTTTCCTTTCATGTTCAAATAAACTTGAGTTTGCAAACAGCCTCTTTTCAAAGGAGCTGAGCTCATGTTCTAAACTGAGAGAGCAGCCTACAGTTACTGAAGAGTAAGACTTAACTGCGAAGTTATACCTTTAATAGTGAATAAGGGGGGCGGGAGGGTAAGAGAAACAGAAAAACGCGCTTATTCTTCCTACATCTGACTTAACATAGCTACTGAAGCTGTTAAGGTAAACTTTGAGTGCCAGAGATGTTTAATGGCTTATCTGTTCAGTCTAAGTATGATAAGCTGAAGGCTGACAGTCCTGGTGTCACTGATCACATGTGAAAGGTTAACACGCTGTAGTACCTGCTCCTACAAGGATATGAAATAGAACATGAATGCAGCATGAATACAATCTAAAATACAAAAAGTTAAATCCCTGACAGCTGCTGAGATCTCTGTTCTTACAATAAAAACTATACGGGAATAAATGGCAAATGCTTCTCCAGTCCTGCGAGCGTTTACACCTTTTTTTGTAACACAAATTGTTTTCACTGTGCATACTGTAGCATAAGCCTGAGAGCAGCCACTGTTTCACTGGCAGAAAACCAAGATTAAAGTAAGCTGACTTTAACAGAATAGATACCGCTGCAGCCTATTTCCTTCTGTTGAGTATCTGCGAAGTTTATTACTTATCTCTGCTCCCTTATCTCGTCACACTTTGATTTCTATAGCTAAAACATGCTGTAAGGAAAACTCTGCAAGACCCCCAGCAACAATGATTACCAGGTAAAAAGAAATGACAAGCAAAAGCTCAGCTCAGTTTCAAGGCAAAAATCCACCATTTAGGTTTTGTACAATATCATCACTTCAACTTTGCTCATCCTGCAGTTGTAAAAAGTAGTACATGAGGGGGTTCTTAGCCACACTTTGAAACACAGCATTATTCTCCAGGGAAAATGCCTCCTAAGAACAGGCTTCTGCACTACCCTTTGTGTTAGATACTTAAATGTCAGTGCCCTCAAAAACCATGTTTTGTTTTCAAAATCAAGAGGAATCAGTAACTACAGTAAGTAAATGCTCTTACAAAATTGTCCACGCTACAAAAGAAATTGCAGAAGTAGGTGTTTATCAGTCTTGTATCTTTAAAAAAGTTGATGAAAGAAAAAAAGTCACTTAATAAATCAAAAATTAAATGTACACACACACAGAGCCAAACCTACAAAAGGGTTCATTCTTCTCTTGTAAATACTTCAACTGCCACAAAGTACACCTTATCACTCTTGCAAGCGGTTTTCATTTTACAGAGGTGTTGTTTTGTTGCTGCTGCTCTGCAAGTGCTTGCTGGAGGCGCATTCTTTTCCGCGAATAGTGCTGCCAGTGAAGAATCTGTTGCTCATCAATAAATTTAGCACACTGAGCATTTACCAGTTCTTTGCGGAAATGTTCATACTGGAGCAGCTCTAACATATGCAAACATTGAGGATACCTGGATTAAAAATAAACATACTTTAATACAAGTTTTTACAAGGTACATTAAAACCAGAGTCCCCAATAATTCTGCGGTTTGTTATCGTAGTTTTATTATGTATGTGCTTTACTCAAGTCTCAAACCACTTAAGGCTGTACATATTGCACACACTGTAACTTAATAACTTCAGTATTAGCCTAGGAAACAAATAAATGGATATGTATGCTTGCTTAGCCTAGCTTTTCTAATGGCTAGATTTTACTAAAATAAATACATAACAACTACAATATCTGTTTCCAGAGCTCATTTAAGGAACATAACCAAGGACTGTTTTCCCAAAATTTGAAGGATTTTGTATACTCACAAAAATGCAAAGTCATCCTTTGCTTTGTGTAAGCATCAACAATGCAAAATCACTCTTTAAAATGTGCTTACTGGGCCTAACTGAAATAGTTTTGTACCATAATGTTCAATAGTTTTGTACCATAATGTTCAATAGTTTTATTTTAAACAAATGATAAAGTGTAGATACAGGCTGCAAAAGGAAGATTCCATGCACACCTCATGAAAGACACGTTTTAAAATGTTGTCTATTCTTGCTACATCTGGACTGTTGGAAACAGGAAAATTTATGTTGCATGTAAACACAGTGGGGAGGCCAAAGGTAAGGTTACAGGCAGAAATAAAATACTGACGTGCTGCTGTACAGTACATAACAGAAGGTAAACATCAAATCATTAAAATGCAGAAACCGAAGTGATTTTAACACTTACTTCAGGTACTTTGCATATTCAGGTTCTTTCCAATAAAGTAAATATTTAAGATAATTTACAAAAGCTTTGTCTTTGAAGTAGCCTCTCTGTGCAAGAACTGAAATAAAATGACAAATACGGAATTGTCAGTTACGGATGCATGAAAAAAAAAATCTGCCAAACTTGAAGAATATGTATTCACAAAACTATATAAAGAGGTACTTTAGTCAAAACTTTATCATTACAATCAAATTTTGGTAATTCAAAATGAAAAAAAACCACAGGGAAAATATATTTTATGTCAATATACCAGGCATAATAAACTAGTCTCGTCTCCCTTACAATATGTATCTTTCACACAACAGCAAGGAAGAAAACAGCTTTTTGAAATAGGAAATTTTGACTGTAGCATCAAAATTGGCAGGGGATTCAAGGGAATTCAGTACAGTACCTGAAACTATTATTAACATTAATAAAATTCTGTTTTCAGATAAAGGAATACTGTTAACTTGACATTACTTTTTAACAACAGACTTGAACTTCTTATTTTTTTCTTCCCCAGACAGATGCATATTTTTTTCATTTCAACCAATAAAACATTTTGCATTTTAGAAAACCCACCCGTAAGAAATCTAGACAAATTAAATTATTTACAGACTACCTTTATGCTGTGCAAGACCCATTCCCTTTTCTTTGTTTAGCCCTCTCTCTCCCTGTTTAACATTACCAGTAATAATAAACATCATCAAACTATATTAATTCCTCAGGATCCTGATATTTACTTTTAAGTACTCACAGTTGAGGTAATTTGGATTTGCCAGGCACTGAACAAACTCTAGCTCCAGCTGGAACCGAAGTCGATTTCCTGTATCATCTGATATGCAAAAAAAATAGTAAGAATTGGACCCACACAATAGATTTGAAAGTAATTTTCTCAGTTTGAGCCATACAAACAGACGCAACATGTTTAAACAGGAGAAAAAGTAACTCCCCATAATAAATACGGATTCATTTAGCAAAGCCTTCATTACATGAATCAGTGTTGGGCCTGCATTAATAAACATGCTGGGATTTTTTTTTTACAGCCAAGCAACTGCAAAGAATGGAGGAATGCCCACTGACACTTTGTTTAGAGTGAAGGCAAGAGCAAGAGGCCTAGAATATTTTTGTACAGGGAAAATTAAGAAGGTAACAATAGGGAACTGCCAACAGCCCAGTGAAATCCTATTTGTACATATTTTTAAAAGTGGTGCAAGGCAGCATTTTTTTTTTTTGCAGAAAGATATCTTGATATAGTACACTAGTGAGAATAGCGCAATGTTCTCACAGTACAATGTACGCTAGTCGTATACCGTTGGGGTTGATACGGGATCCAGAGCTGTTTGACGTCTTTATTAATAACCTAGATGATGTGACAGACTGCACACGCAGCAAGTTTGTCGATTGCATAAAACTGGGAGGAGTGGCTGAGACACGGGAGGGTTGTGCAGCCATTCAGAGGGACCTCAACGGGCTGGAGCAGTGGGCCAACAGGAATCTCATGAAGTTCAGCAAAGTGAAATGCAAAGTTCTGCATCTGGGGAGGAATAACCCCATGCAACAGTACAGGCTGGGGGCCAACCTTCTGAAAAGCAGCTTTGCAGAAAAGGACCTGGGGTCCTGGTAGACAAGTTGAATACAACCTGCAGTGAGCCACTGCAGTGAAGTAGCTCAATAGCATCCTGAGCTGCATTAGGAAATGCATTGCCAGCAGGTCAAGGGAGTGATCCCCTCTACGTGGCACTGGTGGAACCTCATCTGGTGTGCTGCATCCCATTATGGGCTCCCCACGACAAGACAGACATGGATATACAGGAGCAAGTCCAGCGAAGGGACACAGATAATTAACGGACTGGAGCTTCTGACATACAAAGAGAGGCTGAGAGAGCGGGGACTGTTCAGCTTTGAGAACAAAAGGCTCAGGGATGATCTTATCAACGTGTATAAATATGTGATGTGAGGGATTGAAGACAGAATCAAACTCTTCTCAGTGGTGCTCAGAGGAAAGACAAAAAGCAATGGGCACAAACTGAAATACAGGAAATTCCTTTTAAACGTAAGTTTGGGGTTTTGTGGGTTTTTGTGGGTTGGTTTGGTGGTTTTTTGGGGGCTGGGGTTTTTTTTAATTCCCCCCCCCCCCCCCCTCTTTTTTTTTTTTTTTCTCCCCCCCCCCCCTTTTTTTTTTTTTTTACTGTGAAGGTGATTGATCATAGGAATGTGTTGCCCAGAGAAACTGTGGAGTCTCCCTCCTTGGAGATACTGAAGACCTGACTAGACAAGGTCCTGAGCAATCCGGTCTAGTTGACCCTGCTTTGAGCAGAGGGTTGCACTAGATGATCTCTAAAGGTTCCTTTGAACATGAACTATTCTGAAATTCTGACAAACAGTCCCATTTTGCAAGGTAAAGTGTGGAAGAACACCCTACTTCCTTGAACCCTATACCAAATCAAAGCTGGGTCCTAACAGTTTTTGCCTGTTTAGCAGTGGTCACAAGAAATTCACTTAATTTCTGCATTTATGCCCATGACTATATGAGCTGGGGGCTACCATACCAAAAGAGAGGAATAAAGAATCAACTGACTTTCTTATTTTCAGAATCACTCCATCAAAGTAGCTTCATTTAAATGTTTCTCCTTTTCAATGTCACTGTATTCTAGAAAAATGTCTCTCTTTGCTATTGGTGTAAACAATGTTATTCAATCCACGTTGGTTATTACAGATTTTCCCTCACCTACTTTCACCATATCACCTATATCAGTATTAATTTTGAAAACTATTAAACATTCCACTGAGAACATAAGCTCTAGCAGATCGTGACAGGAAAAAAAAAAAATCCATGTAAATGACAATTATACATTTAAAATTATTTTTTACAAACTAGTAAACAGTCATTTCTTAATCTGTTTAAAATAGCCCACAGTGCCTCTAGTTCTTTTAATTGTTGTAGCATCGATGAAAAATATAAGTAGGCGGAATTATTTATGCAATAGTTATAAAACTTATGACATAAAAATCAGGTGATAGTAATTTGATAAATTCTATTTGCCATTATATTTTAGTGACAAGTCTCTAATTCCCTAGTGGCTCCATCTCATACCTCAGAGCATTTCCATACTACAGAGAAATGGCTATGTCCTTAAAAAAAAAAAAGAAACTTGAACAGCGAATACAGGAGCAGTACAACGCAAGTTGAGAACATGGGTAACAATAAGGAGAACGCCTAAGTCTTAACCACGATGAACACAGAGCAAACCCTCGCTGGTGGAAGGCATGCTCTCCATGCTCAGAGGTCTGCTGTTACCACCACAGACCGCTCCTCCACGGGACCGTGAGGCCAACTTTCAGCTCCCAGCTGTGGCCATCGACAGACCTTAACACCAGGATATACATGCTTCTGAAAAGGCTGCATCTAAACACACCTTCCTTTTTCTAAAAAGCTATCCGGGCATAGCAACTAGCCCAGGGCTCGTGGGGAACTGTGAAAACCAACACTTCCCACAGGAATAAAGATGAAGGACAGACTGGGGTTAACTGAGGGCCTTGTGCTCCCGGATTTGCAGCTCTGATTCCTGAATCAAGGACAAATGTTAAAAATGAGGTCGGGGTGTCATCCGTGGCACAAGCTACGTAAGAGTTTGGGGAAAGCGGGATTTAGCTCTACCACCACGGATGCGCCCTCTGACGCCCTCCCGCCACCACCCTCCCCCGGCCTCGGGGGGGATGAAGGCCGCGGGTACTTCCAGGGAGCGGAGCAAACGGGGTGCCGGAGCCGGCCTGACCAGGACAGAGACGGGAGGGCCCGCGGGGCAGCAGGAGCCTGCCGCAAGCCCCCTTCTCCGAGGACTCAGAACCCGGCCAGCACCCGCCG